GCTCTCCTTCTTGGTTACAACAATAATCTTGATGATTGAAACACCCCTCACTTTCCTTCATAACCCACGGCTGCTAGGGCTACTAGTGTTGTGAAAAACAATTATAACAAGAGTTAAGTTTTTTGTTATCCTTATATACATAACCACCAATACACTTAGTATTATCATCTAACATTATTATTATTATTATTATTATTATTATTATTATTATTATTGTTATTATTATTTATTTTAATAGTAAATCTTGTCTCTAAATTAGAGATTTCCACCATAAATTTATTTTAGGTTTAAAAATTAATTAAAAGACCCTCCAATAATATTTAATTTGCACTTTAGAATTCACCATCAAAATTTTGAGATTGTAAAATTATTATGATTTAATTATTTACTTTATTTTTATATTTGGATTCTCGCACCCATACCCGTATTCATACATGTATCTTTGCTTCATAAGATACTGCCAATCATTTGAATTACTTGAATCAAGGTTACCCAATTTAAGCCTTACTAGTTTTGGTATCCTGATCAACTACGAATTAAGAGGATAGCATCATAGACATCATATATGAGGCTTTGTGTTGATGCTTCTACTCAACATACCCTCCTTCCCCAATTCACGTCAAGTTCACATCATCACGGGGTTCACACTCGCCTATGTCAAGGAATTCCCGATACGTACCGATCGATACTACCGATACCGATACTCCGCGATCGATACCGTTACGTTACCCGATACCGCGATTTAGAACCTTGTGATCAACTACGAATTAAGAGGACAGCATCACCGACATCATACATGAGGCTTTGTGTTGATGCTTCTACTCAACTTACCCTCCTTCCCTAATTCAGGTCAAGCTCACATCATCAACGGGTTCACACTCGCCTATGTCAAGGAACATTGTCACATGAGCAGCTCAACCGTGCACTCCCTTATCTGGTGTTGCCATAACACAGTCAACACCAGTTGCATTGGTGTTTACTTGATCCCAATTTCTCAACCAAATTTGTAAGACAGCCACATATGGCTTGCGTAACGAAGATGTTAAGTCCCTACTATGTAGTCTTTGATCCATTTGGCCTAATTTGCTGCAGATCCACAAGTATTTTTTGTTGCAAGGCATACGCATGTGGTACCTCATTTCATATGTCCTTCAAGGGACCACAATGCAATAGTCTCTTCACTACACACTTTTGAGAATGCTAACCAAACAGAATTTTCTAACATATGTTCTATTCAAAATTCATGATATTGATTAGTAGGAAGGCAAAACCATGTGATCCTTCATGTGCTAGTGTCCATCAGTAGACCCACATAACTTTGATATATACATAAGCACATCAACAAGTCTAAAGCCAACACAACCTTCACGTTCTTCTCTTGCAAAGCTTTCACTTGTTGTGCAAGCCCTTCGTTCCTCTTTCTTCTTGTTGAGGAGTACATATCTTCCCAATTAAAAAAATGGCTATTCGTATGCCTTGTATCCTTCGACGGTCGTCATCAATGAAAGAACATAATAAAAAATAATTTTTTTTTGAATTTTTTTAATAGAATTTTGAAAAAAAGTTTGGTTATAAGTTTTGAAAAGAGTTTTTAAATTGAGTTTTGAATTATATATTTGATTATGAATTTTGAAATAGTTTTTGAATTGAATTTTGAGTGATGTGTTTTGTTATGATTTGAGTATGGAGTTGTGTTTTGAGTTTAAAATATTAAAAAAATATTTGAAAAATAAAATTAAAAAAATAAAAAATTAAAATATAATTTATATATTGAAAATAAAAAAAAAATTCTTGCACTTTTTTAAATATTTTAAAAAATAAATTCAAAAGATTTAAAAATACAACTCACAATTGAAAACTGAATTTTTTTTTTCAAAACTCATAACTAAATAAATTTTTAAAACTCAACTCACAATATCACACTTAAATTATAATTCCGTACTCAAAGCATGATTTTAAAACTAAACCAAATGTGACCTTGGTTTTAATGTGAAGTCTATAAGAATGTTGGGGATTATTTCTTCTAGTTTTTTTTATCCTATTTCGTCGACTATTTCAGATTTGATTTTTGTTTTAAACCCTAGGTTTTGCATCCTTTGTCTCTCTCTTTGATTTGTGTTGAGTGTTTGTGGTCCAAGTAATTTGTGTCTCTTCCATATCATTTGTAGGTGGTAAATTTCTTAGTTTCTTTCTTGGTTGTTTGGTGTTTTTTGTCTCGTTCATCTCAGTAGTTTTGAACATTTTGTTTCATTGCTTCATCTTCTTCTAGAAATAGAACCAAGCAATCAGCTAAAAAAGGCTCTTTTGATTCACATTCCTTTCGCTCTATAGACCATCAAAATCTGTTTAATGCAGAGTTCACTGATCGCACTGTGTTACTAGAACGAAATGTTGAACCCAACACATTTTTTTCTTTTTTGATTGGCTTGAACCCAACACATTTGACGAGCTTCCTATTAGGAATTGGTTTGATTGTTTGGGTGGTAATGCTGTGTTGAATTTTGATGACATAGTGAATAGGTCTTGGTTCGAGTATTTTATTGCAACATTCATTCTGTAATTCATCATCTTTTCAGGTGTATGTGAGGGGTAAAAGTTTTGAGTTTAATGCGGATATTGTTGCTAATATTCTTGGTCTCGAACGGCCTCTTGTGTGTGACTATCCCCAAGATAGGTGTTATGCTTCTATCCCAATTGATTTCAATCTCATTGCCTCTACCCTATTAGGTGCTCCTTATAATTGGATTCCCGGTGTTTCACTTTCTCACCGTTCTCTCATTGCACCTTACAGGATCTTGAATCTCATTGTCTCACATAATGTCACTCTTACATTGCATTTTTCTGATGTGTCATATGATCAAGGGTACTTCCTCTATGCCATTAGCCAAAACTTGTCAATAGATGTTCCCTTGCTTGTCTTCCGTTACATGATAGCCTTGTTTAGTGGCAAGAAATCGCTTGGTTTACACCATATCCATCACTTCTCACTAAATTTCTATCTCAAGAGGTTTCCTTTAATACTATTGATGATATGGTTGAGCTTAATAATCCCATCTCCAAACTTACTGTCAATCTGAGCAATGCTCAAGTTAAGGGGAGAGCTGGACAAGCTCAAGTTGAGGAAAGAGCTGGACAAGCTCAAGTTGAGCGTGGTGGTCGTGGCAGAAGAGGTCAACATAATAGTGCAGCTAAAGAAGCAGTTGAGGGAAGAGCTGGACAAGCTCAAGTTGAGCGTTGTGGTTATGGCAGAAGAGGTCGACATGATAGTGCAGTTGAAGAAGTAGTTAAGGGGGAGCATGCAAATTTTCAAACCATTCAAAAGCAAATTTTTCAGATGCAAGCTTCTTAGCTCACTTTTCAAGAGGAAATGCGAGGACAGATGGATCAGTTTGATTCTCATTTTGACCATCTTCATCAGTTCACCGCACATCTAGTTTCAGGACTTCTTTACTTTGTTTCGTCCTCCCCCTCCATCTTGATTTTCTTTGGAATTTTTGGTGAAACCCCCCTTTTGGGCCTTTTATTAGGGTAAAAGATAATCCAATCAATTTTCTTTCAAAAAGCCCCTGAGTAGGAAATGCCTACCTTAATAAGGACATTTTATAATTTCTATTTTTTTTTATCACAATATTGCCCTTATATATATAGGTATCATACGTTTGAAAATTTTGAAATCTGAGCTGAAGATCTCGTAGGAACGAAATCAGGAACAAAATAGATGAAGACGATCTCCAAATCTGAAGATCTCGCAGCTGAACATCTCTCACTTGTTCAACAATAGACGATCTCGTAGCCGAACATCTCTCACTTGGTGGCCGATGATCAACACTCTCAATTAAATGAGAGTTTCATTGAGATTTATGATTGTTGATCAAGTTGTAGAGGTTTTTTTTCTCAATTAGGTATGTTGATTTGTTGATTAATTTTTTTTTGTTTTTTTTTTGATTTATTTTTGTTGTGTTTAATCTGATTTCGTTTGATAGAAAGAGAGTAAAATTTTACTCTGGTTTTATTGCTCTGTTTACAATGAGAGTAAAATTTTACTCTGGTGTTGGAATGACAGTAAAATTTTGATTATTGAGAAGATAGAGGAGGTATGTTCTTTTAGCTTATGAGTTTTAGTTATCAATTTTTAACTAGCAAAAAAGTTGCACCAAACAAGTTCATTGTCTGCCAAATTTTTACTTTTGTGCAGAGTAACATTTTACTTTTATATTCAGAGTCTAACATTTTACTCGTTTTTCAGAGTAAAATTTTACTTTTGTACAGAGTAAAATTTTACTTTTAGATTAAGAGTGTAACTTTTTACTAGTTTTCAGAGTAAAATTTTACTTTTATACAGAGTAAAATTTTACTTTTAAATTCAGAGTGTAACATTTTATTCTTAGATTCAAAATGTAACATTTTATTCTTATTTCAGAGTTAAATTACTCTTATGCAGAGTAAAATTTTACTTTTATACAGAATAAAATTTTACTTTTAGATTCCTTTTGTAACATTTTACTCTTATATCAAAGTAAAATTTTACTTTTAGATTCATGTTTCAAGTTGTGTTGGTGACACACTGTATGAATTGTCAATCTTTGGCAAACTAAATAGTAAAAATTAACTCTAAAATACAGTACAATGTTACACTAAACCACAGTAAAATTTTATCAATTCAAACTAAGCACAAATTGTAGTGACAGTAAATTTTACTTTGATAGTGATCGTAAAATTTTGCTTTGATAATGACAGTAAAATTTTACTTTGATTGACAGTAAATGTTTACTGTTAATTGATTGTAGATTTGTAAAATGATTCCACCTCTTATGTTGTTATGCAAGTATGGTGATCGTACCATTGTGTTTAAGATTGTGTCAAACTGCACATTGAAGGATTTAACTGATTTCTTAAGTTGTAAATTGAAGAAGTTTGACAGTAGTGGTTGCATACTGTTATCGTACTATTTACCTAGACATTCGCAATGCATGATTGATGATGATTCTGATTTTTAGAATATGTTGTCGCTTGTTTATCCCCTTGGTGTTGACCGGGTTGATGTGACTATTATTGAAATGGGCATTTCAAATGAAAAACATGGAGTTAAAGAATCAAGGGACGCTAGTGGATCCAACATTACTAATGATGAAATGGATTTACTCCCCATGTTTTGTCAACATGAAGAAAGGACTTTGTTGTCTTGTGGATGGGTGAATGGAATTACTCATGTAGGTCAAAGATTTATTGGAGGTGCAAAGGATTTCCGAATTGCATTATGTAAATATGCCATTGAGATAGGATTTGAGTTTGTGTATGTGAAGAATGAGAAGTGTCGGGTCACTGTTGTGTGTTTAATGCGGGAGTCCAAAGCTTGTTTATGGCGAGTACATTCATCTCTAGAAAGTGCTAATAATTTTTTCTACATTAGGACTCTACATGATGAGCATACTTGTGGAGCTGCAATTCGTACTTCTAAAAACTCAAGGATGAGTTCAAATTTGATTGCAAGTTTGATTGTTAATGAAGTATGTGGGAATCCCCAAACTCGTCCAATTGATGTTGTGCGTCAATTTACAGATCAATACGGGCTCATCATTACGTACAATCACGCTTGGTTGGGAGTTGAGAAAGCTAGGACTACTACTTTTGGAGATTTATCTATGTCTTATGATGAGATTCGATGGTATATCGATATTGTGATGAGCACAAATCCTGGTAGCTATTTGCGTCTTGACTATAACCACCAAAGTGGACGGTTCAAGAGGTTTTTTGTTGCATTTAATGCTTCCATTCAAGGGTTTAGGGATTGCCGCCCTCTATTGTTTATCGATGGAACTTTTCTGAATGGGAAATATAAAGGCACCTTGTTAATAGCTACAACGAAGGATGGGGATTAAGGTAGATATTACTATAGTTTATTCAAAAGTAACAAGTTACTTATTCTCAGAGTCACGTGTTACTGTTATTCAGAGTAAAAATCTACTATATTTGTCCTTTTCATTTAATATACTTAGTAATTGTAAAATGTTATTTTTCAGGTTTTTTCCCTCTTGCAATGGCAATTGTCGATACGGAGACTACAGACAATTGGGAATGATTTTTTATGCATTTGTCAAATATATTATTGGATGAAAGACCAATTACCTTCATATCTGATCGGAACGCTGCACTTTTGGAGGCTTTACCCAAGGTTTTACCTATTGCTTACCACTATTTTTGTCTCCAACACTTGAAGGCCAATTTGAGGGATAGGTTCTCTGGTCCAAGTTTCAACAATACTTTCAGGAGTAGAATAGTTTTTTTGTTTTCTTCATGTGCTTATGCTCCGACAGTGGGATGTTTTAATCAATGCATGAAAGAATTACAAGATGAGGGAAAAGGGATCGTTTGTGGGTTTCTATCCAATTTGCCCTATGACAAGTGGACTAATGCATATTTTAAAGGACACAAATACGGTGAAATGCATTCAAATGTGGCAGAGTCTTTCAATTCATGGATCCGTGAAGCTCGCCATTTGCCCACTACGAAGATGATTAATTCAATTAGGTTGAAGATCATGGATTTAATGTCGAAAAGGAGAGAACAAGCTAAGAAATTGAATACTTTTCTTTGTCCAGAGATGGATTCAACATTAGTAAATGCTCTTAAAAGTGAAAGAACTTGGTGGTTAGTCGTTCAAGTGATCATGTTTTTGAGGTTCAATCCCGGCCATCGGTTAGCGTTGACCTCTTGAATAGAACTTGCTCATGTTACTAATGGCAATTGAATGGATTTCTTTGTGCTCACACGGCGACCGCTATCTAAAAGAGCGGAGGTGATTTGTATGCACATGTGGAACCATTTTATTACACTAGCAAGTTCAAAGCTTGCTATGCTAAGTCCGTTTATCCAATACCCACTGTTGAGAAACCTCTTGTAGCTATGGATGATCTTGTTTTCTTTCCTCCAATTTGTAAGAAGCCACCTGGTAGGCCAAGGAAGAATAAGATTCCATCTAGGGGTGAGAAGATAAGACAAGTACAGTGTGGTAGATGCGAGAAGTACGGTCATAATAGGAAGCCTTGCAAGGAGACATTGCCGTAAAAGACATTATTCATTTTGTAATAGAAGTATGAAAATAATGCAGTTCTTCTGCAATAAATAGTCCATAGCAATAATAGTAGTGTTTTAGACTAGATTTGTAAGGAGACATTACAATAAAAGACATTTTTACTATGTTCTTGAATGGTTGTCTGTTCAAGTTTCTGATTTGCTTTGTGGTTGAGTTTGACATTTTAATATATTTTTTTAATGTGGTTGAATAAGTTTCATGTAAATGAACTTATAATGGAGTTTGTTCAGTAGGTGTGAAGGTTTGAAATGACTGTGCTCATCCTGTGCTTTCAAAGTAAATTTTTTTGGTATTTCAGAGTAAACTTTTACTTTATTGCAGAATAAAATTTTACTTTTTCGAGAGTAAAACATTGCCTTCATTCACATGAAAGTAAAACTTTCCTGCCTTTCAAAGTAAAAATTTACTTTCTTGTTGAATGGTTCTCTGTGAGTGTGATGAGCCTGTGATTTTATAATAAAATTTTACTTTATTTCAGAGTAAAATGCTACTTTTTGATTAAAATTTTATCTTATTTCAGAGTAAAAAATTTTTTTATAGAGGGTAAAATTTTACTTTTATGCAGAGTAAAATTTTACTTTTAAATTCAGAGTGTAACATTTTTCTCTTTTCCAGAGTAAAATTTTACTTTTAGATTCAGAGTGTAACATTTTACTATTTTTTCAGAGTAAAATTTTACTTTTATACAAAGTAAAATTTTACTTTTAGATTCAGAGTGTAACATTTTACTCTTTTTTCAGAGCAAAATTTTACTTTTAGATTCACAGTGTAACATTTTTCTCTTTTTCAGAGTAAAATTTTACTTTTATATAGAGTAAAATTTTACTTTTATGCAGAGTAAAATTTTACTTTCAAATTCAGAGTGTAACAATTTACTCACATTTTATATTTCAGAGTAAATTAAAATTTTACTTTTATGCAGAGTAAAATTTTACTTCTATGCAGAGTAAAATTTTACTTTTAGATTCAAAGTGTAACAATTTACTTATATTTCATATTTCAAACTAAAGTAAAATTTTACTTTTATGCAGAATAAAATTTTACTTTTATGCAGAGTAAAATTTTACTTTATTGCAAACAGTATGTTAGCCACTTAGAAAAACATTTCCAACCTGCACCAAAATTTACCACAATACACAAACTCTCCTGATGATCATCATGCAATCTTTGTGCAAAAATAATCTAATAACACAACTACATATATCATCAAAGATACACAAGTATAACCTATATCATTGTATTCTATACATAACGTTCATTCCCAGTCAAATCAATATCCTGCTATAATAATGTATTAATCACCAAACCATAGTAAAATTTACTAGAGCAATAGACATAGCATGTACTATCTAATACTCTTTTAGTATTGTTTCACTTACAATTACTTTTTCACCATTCTTTCATTTACAAAATCCAAAATTACATACATCATTCACAGTAGTTCCCCAAAAAGTTGTCCATATTGTCATCCTTGAGGTCTTAGCTCTAGCCATTTTTTTTTTTTTTTTTTTGAGGTTGAATTCTTCCTCAGTCCATGCTTTTGGATAATCATTCAAAAATTGATGCACTATTGACGCTCGAAAATTGTTAATTTCATCCTCTTCCATAGAATTTGCAATAGGCTCATCTCTTATGATTTGGCGCATGATATAACATACAATAATTCCGCAATCAACACTGTTAATAAAAATCATGATCTTGTTAGATTTAGTCAAATTTGAAAACTACCAATTCAAGCATGTAGTAGTAGCGTGAAATACTTATGATGTTGGGCGTTATTGTGGATTATCTTTCACCAAAACCAAGTTTGCAAACTTTCTTATACCTCTCTTCGTTTTGTTGGCCAACTTGTTCTCCACATATGTTATCTAACATCATTGCATAATTGTTTGGTCATGATTAAATACAAGAATAAGACACAGTAAAAAATTACTGTTAATATGATGCAAAGCACTTACAATCTTTTTTGCATCCTTAAGCTCTGTTGTCTCTTGGCCTTAAAGAATTGTAATGTCTCTACTCATCAAATTCAATGTCAAATACAAGAAGTGTCTAGTGGTAGGGTTTTTCTTCCTTCTTGTTCCCATTGGAGTTCATGTAAAAATGAAGGTATCTGTATCCACTCAAATCTTGTTCAAGGACTTCATCAATTAAATGATTTCTCAACTCTCCATAACCCCATTTCACTAATGACTGCATTTAATCATATAAGAGTGTCATGCCTCAAGTTGTGTTGGTGACACATTGTATGATTTGTCAATCTTTGGCAAACCAAATAGTAAAAATTAACTCCAAAATACAGTACAATGTTACACTAAACCACAGTAAAACTTTATCAATTCAAACTAAATACAAATTGATGGCTTATCCAACAAAGGCTTGAGAAAAAGAATGATTTATTCTTTTCTGGCTTCTTTGCTTGTTGCTCAATTTAAAGCATTTCTACAAAGCTGTCAATGACCTACAAAAACAAAAATCAATTAAATATATGTTAATTAAATGAACTATTTTTAGTTATTGAAGTGAACACTAGTCATTGAAACTTGTATGGCCACTTACATTATTTGCAGTATCACCATCTCTCAGAATTGCCTCCACATCATGCAATGTAACATATACTCCATTTCATGTGCCGGACTATATGATTGTACTAGTCATAAGGTAAAAAAAATGTTGATTAGCACATTATAGTTTGATAACAGTAAAAATCTGTTGTTTGATAAAATTAAAATAGTCTTACTCTGTGGTTTCCAAATTGTAAATCTTGCTCAGTAGACACTTATCATTCTCATCAAGCAATTTGCATATTGCAGCGTTATCTAGAAACAAAACCCTTCCAACTGGCTTTGGTTGGCTTAGAGGCAAGTTAGGCAAGTTGTCAACACAAATCACTTCATTTGATAGCACTTCAATTGCTTGTTTTGTGGTCTTTTTTTTCTTTGCCTCTCTTGGCTCACATTCAAAATCAGACATCTCTTTTTTCTTCCTCGCCTTGATTTTGACTTTTTTGACCATAGATGTTTGCAATGGCTCTATGACTATAAGTGTTTCTTTCAATGTAGTTTGAATCCCAAAGTTTGGCTCTTGTTCTACTCCTTTAGCATGTGGCATTTCTTTAGAAGCAAAAGCTTGGGTAGCCGCATGAACTGTATTTTCTTCAATCTGTTCAGCTAACTGTTTATTTTCAGATTCGAGTACTTCAATCTCCTTCCTCAGTTTCTCCATCTCTTTCTTTGTGTTGCTCATCTTTTCCATCATTTCTTTTGTTTTTGCCTCTTGATCCTCTTGTATTTTTTTCATTGTCTCCCTCATTTCATTCAGTTCTTCAACCAATGCCATATTCTCACTTTTCAGCCTCTTGTTTTCTTTTGAACTCGTTCTAATTTCCCAAGATCAATGAAGTCCTTCAAAGGTTGATCATCTGCTAAAGCTTTAGCTACATGATCTTCATCTTCTTTAGTCTCCAAATTTTTCTCTATGTCCAATGCATCTTCATCATCATCATTGTGAATGAGTTCCATTTCTTCTCTGGAAATGGGCTTCAGTTCATTGTGATTTACCTGCATTTGAAAAATAGAAAAAGAAAAGAAGTCAGCAATGAAGCAAACTTTAACAAGAGTAAAATTTTACTCTGTTTCAAAGTAAAAGTTTATTCTGATTGTAAAGTAAACTTTTACTCTGTTCAAAAGTAAGTAAAATTTTACTCTGACTGTAAGTAAAAGTTTACTCTGATTGTAAGTAAACTTTTACTCTGTTCAAGAGTAAGTAAAATTTTACTCTGACTGTAAGTAAAAGTTTACTCTGATTTAAAGTAAACTTTTACTCTGTTCAAGAGTAAGTAAAATTTTACTCTATTTCAAAGTAAAAGTTTACTCTGATTGTAAGTAAAAGTTTACTCTGATTGTAAGCAAACTTTTACTCTGATAATAAGTAAATTTTTACTCTGTTCAAGAGTAAGATTTTATTATGTAAGTATAATTTTAAGCAAAGTGAACCAGTAAGGCTGAGTTTGGAAAGATGATACCTCTTTAGGCTTTAGTGTTTGCAATGACCTCTTCATTAGCTTTTTCCTCAACGTTGATAAGTCCCATCGAAGGAGCCTTGGACACAAATTTTTTCCTTGAGGTTGAATGAGGGTAGTATGCTCACATAACCAGTACTATAAAATAAAAAATCGAAATTAGTTAATTCTCAAAAGATAGATTGCGTAATATTTCAAGTAGTTCAATTTACTTACCAAAAGAAGAAGTACACATCTAGTTACATTTTCAGGACTTCCTAATGAAGAATGGATTGAAGTAGTCAACGTGGATGCAACTGCAGTCGACCATGCATATGAATTCATCATTTCCAAATCTTCTACAAGGGCGACAAAAGCCCATCCAACTGTTAGACCAGTTGTTGGTAATAGCAAAGTTGCCACAACAAATAAACACATTATTCGTGCAACATCCTCAATATCAACTCTCGTTGTGCCTTCCAATGCATCTCCTAATGCCTCTCACAAAATCTTTACGGATATTCTTAACATATTACGAAACCTTCTCTGCACAAAAGGTGATTCTTATTTCTTCCCATATGAGACATCTACTTTTTTCATTCCCGATTTTATCCCAAAAATCCCAGTAACGTCACTGTCTTGTATGTCACATGTTTTCCCCCCAAGCTTAAATCCCTTTGCATGAAAGTCTTAAGATTTGATCACATCCATGACATTATCGTCAACTTTTTTGAACTTCTTTAACACCACATCATCTTTCTTCCAAAAAGATTTAAACAACATCCCAAAAGGTGTTCTCTCAAGGGCAGTAATGTGTCTTTTAGTGGACCTTGTGTCTCGCATTAGGTTTATCAATGAAACAATATTTGACCTATATTGTTTCATATAGTTCTCCCTCTCCCGTACTCCATGTACAATATTCAACTTCGAAGGTTTTGTTGTTGAAGGCATTGGATTGCTTTCTTTGCAGCC